GGAATTGTTTTCTCCTTCTTCATTTGCATTACTTATTTCTACGTGCATGCTGGCGTGATTCGGAGCATTGAGTGTTCATGTGCTATATTGAAGATGCGAGATGGGGAGGGTTATGTATGAAGCCGATGGGATGGACATATATGACCGGCCTGGCTGCCGGCGACTTCCCCTTCTGGTTTCTGTGACCTGGGATTTATGGGTTTATGATTTACATGATTGATTGGATTGATGATGGGGACACTATCACATCATGATGTTTGTTTATATGGCGATATTGGCGATACATGGCGTTTAGAAGTGATAGGGTGAATTCTTGCACGGGGGGAAAAATTGTGTATATAGGACCGATGGTTTACCTGGAAATGACCAGTGAACAGGCACATAACATACACCGAAGCAGTGTGTAAATGTATCCTATGTACCAGCGATATTCCTACTGCATTAGGACAAACAATCCGACTGTTCTAGTATGGGTCTAGAATCGTTAATTAGTCAGTTCGCACGAGCTCTAACTAGTTAGCCTACGAGTAACTAGTTAGGAAACAAAGCAAGCCCAACCTCGGAATCTCATGCCAAATCCATGCCAATTGCAATACATTACGAATTATCCAGTTATGTAAAGTACTACTTTTCCAGTGACGAAATTCGACGATCCCAATTCCACACAAACAAGTTAGTTAAGTTTAAAAAGCACGAAATGCAAATCGGATTCCGGAATCCGGCGAGGCTCGTAGAGGAGCTGTCCCGATTGCACCCCGTGGGGTAAGCGATCATCCTTTTTTGTCTTACTTCTTGTCTTTGTGTCTTGCAGGGTGGAATGCTTTTCCGGTTCTTTCTTTCCTCCTTGAAGATTGGAGTACTAGAGTGGATAATAGATATCTGGATATATACTCATCCATTGAGACTATACTACTGTTATTTGTGAACAGAACAGATCATCCTGGAGTAAAAAAAATGACAAAGACTCGGTCGGGGCGGGGAAAAAGAACCTAGAACTTTGCTATTATTATTGTTAGTCAGAAAGTGAGTGATTTTGGCTGAATGCGGCTGGCGTCGGGCTGTAGTAAGTAGGTATGAGTAACAGTAGATTGTGATTGGTTATTAATGCCGCGTTTTAAGCAGTTCTACTTATTTTAAGTAAGTACCTTTAGGGATATGATGGTGGATGGAATTACTCAAGTGGGAAGTATTATACTATTACTGACTGTCTTGGTACTATCTAGTAGAGGATAATGAAGAAGATAAATCGGAGAGATGAGGGATATTTGTATGCTTTCCTTACTTTCATACTTGGTTTGTAGAAAGCATAAGTGGATCTGTCATATGATGATGTCAGGCCAGCTCGGGCAATTCTGTCCGCCAAACATCTAACCCTTGCTCATGTTGATAACTGCAGTATAGCTGGAATGTATCTTCAATGATAGACAAAATAGATAGTATACAGATAGAGGTTCGAGATAATGCTTCAAATAATTAATGGTTTTGCAGTCATGTGAATGCGTCATCATCATTATCATCTGCTCAACTCATCATTCGGGCCAGCAACTGCCACATCCTCGGCTCATTCTCCAACTCTCAACTTTTATCTCGGTCTCAAGATCAAGAACATTCCCAGACTACTATATGTACCCCGTACTCCCTCCTCCGAACCTATCCCCGATCGTGTCCATTTCTACTCCGTCCCGTCCTTTTCTTTTTTCCTTGTCCTGCATCTGCCCAGCTCCGGTGTATCCATCGGGATTTATCTGTTTCGGTCAAGTTCAATTTATTGGCGCCGGTGAACGCAAGCAGCAGTCATTGAGGGAATCAGGTGGTGTGACCTCTTCTTGACCTGACAATACATCATGTCGCCCCTTTCCTCTTCTTCCTCTTCTCCATCCTCTTCTTTCTCCCTTACTTCTTCATCCTCTCCATCCTCTTCCTCCATTGCTACCTCTACTTCTACCGCTCGCTCCCGTCTTGCTTCTCTCTCCTCGCACATCATGGGCTCTACCACCCCCTCCGTCTTTTCCACCGCCGTCGTGCCCGCCGCGCCAGAAGATGCTCTCTTCGGTCTGGCTCAGGCTTTTCGCCAGGATTCCTCCGACAAGAAGGTCGATCTAGTCATTGGCGCTTACCGCGACAACAATGCCAAACCCTGGATCCTGCCCGTCGTCAAGAAGGTACTTTCGCTACCCCTCAATTCCCCACCTGCACATCATTATCTCCCTCCATCCCCGCAGCATCTCAACTAACCAACTCCGACAGGCCGACGAGCTCGTTCGCAATGACCCCGCCCTCAATCACGAATACCTCCCCATCAAAGGTCTCGCCGACTACACCACCGCCGCCCAGAAGTTGATGATTGGCGCCGACAGCCCTGCCATTCGCGAGAACCGCGTAAGCCTCCCCCCATCCCTTCTGTGATCCTATTCATCTAACATCTCCTAGGTATGCACCTTCCAGACCATCTCCGGCACCGGTGCCGTGCACCTGGGCGCTCTCTTCCTCTCCAAATTCCACCCCTCCAACCCTAAGCCCACCGTCTACCTCTCCAACCCAACCTGGGCCAACCACAACCAAATCTTCACCAATGTCAACCTCTCCCTCGCCAACTACCCCTACTTCGACCCCCAAACCAAGGGCCTCAACTTCTCTGGCATGCTCTCCGCCTTGCGCGACGCTCCCACCGGCTCCATCATCCTCCTGCACGTCTGCGCCCACAACCCCACCGGCGTCGACCTGACCCAAGACCAATGGAAGGAGGTTGCCGTCGTCATGCGCGAGCGCAACCACTTCCCCTTCTTCGACTGCGCCTACCAGGGTTTCGCCTCGGGTGACCTCGCTCGTGACTCCTGGGCCGTGCGCTACTTCGTCGAGCAGGGCTTCGAGCTGTGCGTCGCGCAATCCTTCGCCAAGAACTTTGGTCTGTATGGTCAGCGCACGGGTGCGTTCCATTTCGTCTCGGCCCCGGGCGCCGAGGCCACCCAGGCGAATGCGCATATCGCGTCGCAGCTGGCCATTCTGCAGCGCAGTGAGATCAGTAACCCGCCGGCGTACGGTGCGCGCATTGCCAGCCGGGTGTTGAACGATGAGGGTCTGTTCCAGGAGTGGGAGGAGGATCTGAAGACGATGAGTGGTCGCATTGCGGAGATGCGCAAGGGATTGAGGGAGCGCTTGGAGAAGAAGGGCACGCCGGGCACTTGGAACCACATTACGGATCAGATTGGCATGTTCAGTTTCACCGGGTTGACTGAGACGCAAGTGAAGGTGTTGAAGGAGAAGTGGCATGTCTATATGGTATTCCCCCTCCTATCCCCTTGATATCACCATGTGGGTATATACTAACGATGTGACAGACCAAGAACGGCCGTATCTCCATGGCAGGCCTAAACACACATAACCTGGACTACTTTGCCGAAGCAGTGGACAGCGTAGTGCGGGAGACTTCATAATATACCACAGGTAGTACATGATGGATATGGAATGGATATATGTAAGGTACAGCTAGACTGGTAGACAACCCCAATACAAAATATAAACAACACAACTTGAACAATAAAAGAATAATATCTAAAAAACCAAATCCCAAACAACCAACCACGTACACAACCCCACCGTCCCCCAAAACACCGCCTGCGCCGTACTCCGTCTCTCCGTCGCCCGCTTCAACTCCTTATTCCCTTGACCAATATTCGCCTCGGTATTACTCGCATCCGTCACCAGCTGCGAGATGTATTCCTCCTGGGTAGATAAATGCGACACGAGGGTTTGCTGGAGAGAGGAGATCTCGAGGAGGGATTTTTCTGCGTTCCTACACACATGCCACAGTCAACTGTTAGCCATACCCCAACACAGATACCTCAATAGAGAGAAAGGATAAGGGTATATCATACTGAACCTTCCCCACCACATCCTCAAAATACCTCACCAGGGAATCATTCTCCTCCTCAAACAGTTGCAATTGCTCCGGTGTTAACTGTTTCTCGATTTCTTTTACCTCCTTCTCATCCATCTTCACCACACCACCACCAGTATTGCCAGTATCCCCCCTCCACTCCCCATCCACCCTCCCCCATCCACCACCACCACCAACACTTCCCGACGAAGTATTCGATTTATAAAGCACACTCCTCTCCCTCTCCCTCACCCTCTCAATCCTCTTCTCAACCATATCCCTCTGCTCATTAACCACACTCCCCAGCTTCTTATTAAGATAGAATAGCACGCTTTCCCTCACCCCCTTTAACACCTTTTCTTTCTCCTCCTCAACAATCTGCTCTTTATCCTTTCCTTCATTGCCATCATCATTGCTACTGGTAAGTGTAGCTCCCCCCGCCCACTTCGCCAGAAATCCCTTCCCGAATCGTTGTGCTATGCTCCGCGAGACTGTCTCCTGGCGGAGGTTCTCGGCCGCGCTGAGGGTGGTTATTGATGTGGAGAGGTTGGATAATAAGGATGAGGTGGTCGTGGTTATGGTGTCGCGAGCGGTGTCGTCTAGTGTTTCATTCGGTTTGGGTTGGGTGGTGCTGGTGGTGCTGGTGGTGGTTGTTGGTTTTGTGTTGGTTAGGGAGAGGTACGAGGGGCGGATGGTTTGGAGGTAGGATAGTAGGGATGTTATGTGGGTGTTCTATTTCATTTCGTGGGTGTTTGTTAGTATGTGGTGGATGGATAATGGGGGATGGCATACAATTCGGTAGGCTTCTTTGAGGAATTCGTCGGCGATTTCGGTCGTCATGTACCCTGTGGAGAGCTTCGAGGTCGGCGATTTGCTGTGCACCAGCTGGGTGAATGTGGGGGTGAGGTCGGTCATTGTGCTGTGTTGCTATATACACTTCGGGGTTGTGGTTTGTTGGTGCGAGCTGGCTTGTATCTACACTACATCTAGCTACGTAGGTAGTAATCACGTGATGTATGCTTACGTGTTTATGCATTGTCATAATTCATATCATCCATACCAGCCATACAACCATACAACCATACCATATCAACCAAACTCCAGGGTATACGCTAATGCAATCCTAAATCACGCCTCGCTCCTCAACCCATATCTGTCAGGGTTAGCACGATCCATTCTCTCTTTGCAGTCAAGTGGGTGTATACCTCCATCTTCCCCATCTCGCTCCCCTCTCGTCGTGCCACCTCGCGCGACCCCGCCATCAACAAGTCTAGATCCTCCTGGTCTACCATCGTAATCATATCCCCGTCGTCTTGCATGCGGATTCGCAGCAGCGTGCGGAACCCAAATTTGTCCCGGATCCGACTCTCAAACTCCCTAAACTCAATAGTCGGCTCCATCATGATGTACCGTGTATCTTCTCGCGAGTGCGCCTTCACTCGGAACTTGCGCACCTCCGGCCGTCGTGACGTCCCCCGCCGCGATCCCCGGTTCGGAGACGCCTGCGGCCGCGTTCCCATGATCTCAAACTCACCGTCTGGCCCGTTGTCCTCGTATGCATCACTGGCGTACTCTTCTTGCTCGTCAATATACCGCTCTTGTTGACGGCGCCAGGTGGCGCCCGCTGGCATCGATCGGGTGCCCGAATACGACTCCTCCGAGCTCACCGTAGGGGCAAACCCCGTATCACTCATGCCTCGTCGATGGCCATGAGACTCGCCCGGCCCTCGTGGCCCTGGTCCCGGCCGCGGCCCCGGTCGACCCGGACCTGCCCGCGACTCGGACGCCGTGCGCGTCGTGCCGATCCGCGGCTTCTCGACCAGCGTTTCTGTACTGTGGCCCGCCGTCAGGTCGAGCCGGGGTGGCCGCGCTGCTCGGATGGACCCCGGTCGACTGTTCATCGCGAGACTACCTGTGGAGCTGTTGGTACTCGCCTTGTCTGCGTCCGGCGGGGGAGTAGGAGGGAAGAGATTACGGTTCAGAGGCGGCTCCGATTGCTGACGGCTCCGACTCTGCAGGTTCTTATGCACCAGGTGTGACGTGGCAAACGGCAGCGTCTCTGGCTTTCGGTGGTCCAGCATGGACATGGTCCGCTTGAGCTCCTCGCTGGCTGCGGACGGCATGCTGCTGCGCTCGGATGCGGCAATCAGCCGGGACTTGCCCAGGTAGTCTTTTGCCTTGAGGTTCTTGACCTTGGCCTCGTTGGGTCGGTACACCACCCCCACCGGGATCGAAAAGACCGTGTAGCCCTGTTCCGTCAGTACCATCACTCTCACAAGAGGAAGCTGACCTACCGCCGCTTGCTCACGAATAGCATCGTCGATCACGTCGTGGTCGGGCGTGACTTTTTCTTTTGATGCATATTGTAGATCTTGCATGCCAGGTCCCATTTGCTGCAGGTAGATATAGCACAGGCCCCGATTGAACAACACCTCACAGGAGAAGAGCCGGAACTTCAGGCCCAACTGCTCATAGTCAATGGAGGTGTTGCCCCGGAGGTAGAGCAGCGTGTCATTGAAATTAGCCAATGCCTCCTCAAAGTCCCCCAGAAGAAAGTTGGACACTCCCTCTTGGAAGTAGGCAATAGCCAGATACTGGTCCAGGCCGACAGCCCGCTGGTAGCACTCAACCTGCTCTCGTCAGTAAGGACCAGAGAATCAATAAGGCAACATACCGCTCTTTCATGTTCACCTAACGTGGCATAGATGACCCCGCAGTTGAACAGAATCTTGGAGGTCTCTGCAATCGCACCAAAGACCCTAAGAGCTTCATCATATTCCTGATTATCGTAGTGGTCAAGGGCCTGTACCCAGGTCTCGATTTCCTAGTCAAATTAGCATCATTAGCATCATCCTAACCCTAAGGCTGTCATAAGTACCTGCTTCAAGGACATGGTCAAGTTGTCCGTAGCACGGCCACTGGCCTAGTTGACTTGGGCGAGGCGAGACGCCGCAGCAACTAGCGAGTGTATATGTATGCGACTGGCTATGGCCAAGACGCAATGGCTGGGTCCTGGCCACGCTGGAGCAGGGATGTGACGAGGGGCAGCGAGTCCACTGGGACGATGCCGTAAAGGGGATCCAATCGAGGGTAAGCCGGTTGGGGTCGGCACGCGGCAGTCGGTGTGGCTGCTAGTCGAGAGAGCGATAACCAGCGTGAAGGAGTGATAGACCATGCGCACTATCCAAGCGTCGAGAGCCGAGAGTTGGATCGGATATATAATTAGATCACGGATCCAGCGACCCAGCCGCTAAGAGGGACCGGAGACCAGCCAAGACGCAAGGAGGGCCGTTGGCTGGATGTGATGAGTGATGGGATGAGGGGAGCACGGGCAATGTGAGGTGATTCGAGGGAAGGATTGGCAGAGATTCGTAAAAACGGGTCTGTTCTTGAGTGAGTTTGCAGATAGGGTTGTGGATTAAGGAATGTGGGTTGTGGTGTGTTTGCCCTGAGATAATTGAATTCCAGCGGGACGGGAGAGAAAGAGGTACGGATCGCGATGGAAGAAGTCAAATCCACATGTAAATGCCAAAAAGGAAGAAACAGGGAAGGGGGTGGGATTAGCGTGCAGAGACGATGCAGCCGACAGGGGAGCTAGTTAGTTTAGCAGCAGCAGCAGCAGTAGTAGTAAGAGTAGTAGTAGGTGTAAATGGTGACCGTCATGCCGGTCAAGATGGAGAAGACCAGGGAGGGGTGAACAGCAGTAGATTGATGACACTTAGGCATGGCATCGGGCATAGATGGGGAGGGAGAGAAAGGGAAGGAAGTATAAGCTTGTCTGGTCAGTCGGTGTAGCCAAGAGGAATACTCTTAGTCTCTTACAGTTACAGCGTATCTACTGAGTCGACTAGTAGAGTAAAATGAGTGGTGATGAAAAGAAACAGGAACTGTCACAACTGCCCCGTTCGTAACGCCCGAGGGGGAAACTGGCGCTTGAATGGCTGATAGCAAGCCACCCCCGGTCAGTGCTCAGGGTGCCAATCCGGTGTGCGCGATGATCATTGGCTCCTGCAGGGGGTTGGCACTTCATCACAGTGCAGCCAAGATCCATCTCTTCCCCCTTGATTGGCTGCTGGTCGGGGTTCTCTTCCAGTTGACGCCCGTACCTTACAGTACTCAGATACATACATACACACTCTCTTTCTGTCTTTTACTTTCGGAGGTACAAGATACAATTAAAATTCAATACCACTTAATTTACACCAGATTATTTCGATACTACCTCACTATCTCGTTACTACTCCTTGCCACCAGCCATGGATAGATGAAGACTGGATGTTGGGCTGAAATGGGTCAATGGCCCGTTCCGCAACCCATGCCGAGTGGGGAATGTGGGCAATCTCCGATGTCACTGAAGAATTCAATCAAATCAATCAATCACCCTACAAGATAGTATAGTATGATACATACCATTAGAGGACCTCCGGGACAGGAGGGAAAAGAAAATAACCAGGACAAATCAGAATTCATCACACAGTCTGCTTCAAAATCCGCATCACGTTGTCCCAATCCTTCTTTTTTTCCACTCTCTCAGGGGATGATTAACTTTGGGTGTCCCCGCCACGGCGCTTGCAGGAAATGGCCGAACTCCCCTTCGGTACCGATTTCCTGCCTGGGGTCCCTCTCCGACCCTCGCAGATGGTCCCTCGCGGTTGGTGCAATAATCACCAGCATTAATCACTATCCACTAAGCAACTACTAACTAACCATCCCATTTGATTTCTCTCCCCCCCGCCTTCATCAACCCCTCGACGACCGTTGTGACTAGACTACGACTAGTCCTGTAGACGCTGCTGGCTGACCTATCTTTAGCTGCGAGCCACCGTAGTCCCCCCGACTAGTTGCTCTGTCGTGCAGCTCTCCTGCATACTCGTCGGTCACCTGAGTCTGGGGTGTCTACTATTGGATCCCTCGTCCATCTCTATCCCCATCCAACATCACCACCACCACCAACCACCACAAACATCAACTACCGGTGATGCAATGGGCACCCTGGTCCGGTCTCTATTTCTGGAAACCCCTCGCCCACGCGTTTCTATTTAAAAGTTCGGCAATGCGCTAGAATATCGTCACTCATGCTTGCTCGTATTCCTTATCTCAGGGCTGATCGATCATCGATCGTGGGTATCCTATCCCTAGTACTATGCACACTCTAACCACTGACCGGACTGCTTGCTATACATAGACACACCCGCCAGTCTAGCTTCCTCCAACCACATCCTCATTTCCCTCTCTTCTTCCCCTTTAGGCCATTCCCTGGGCCACCTGCTCCTGCCGCTCCTGCCACACATTCTTACCGGAGCAGGAACACACCATCTTGTCGTTATCCCACACCCCCGCGCTTCGAGCGATCACTCCCACTAGAGTGTCAGGGTCTTCCTGTCGAAAGGGCCCCTCCTGGCTCTTCGACACTACCATACTGCGCCCAATCATCTCCCACACCGCTACCGGGCGATCCAAAAATACATTGCCCCGGCCCTTGTCGTTCACCTCAACCGATCCAAAAATGCCGCGGGGTTCCTTGACTGGCTCCGAACCCAGAACTTTAGCCTTGACGGCCTCCCAAATGCCGCCGGTGGATCCAGCACCCTGCGAGATATCCCCTGTGTCGCGTACCGTGGCATAATACTTGCCGGGAGTAAGGCCGTTGATCGTCAGGTCGACCAGGGTCATGTTGGAGGAGACCTGGACCATGCGCGCCAGACCACGAATCTTGTTGGAGACGCTATTCGAGTGGGTTTCCAAGATACACACCGCGGAACCTGCAATGGTGCCATCAGCCTCGGTGTACTGCCTGGAGTAGGCAGGTGATAGACATACTGTTGGAGGTGCCACTGCCTCGTAGAATGGCATCCCGTCCCGTAGCTTGGATAGCGGAGACAATCGAGCTGGGTGGTGCCGTCCCCTCGATGAAGACTAGCTGGTCCTTTAGGTTTGCCTCGACCTTGTTGATGCCTGACCGGTCAGCTTGCGCACAGGGTTGCAATGCGGATGCGCCTACCCTCCAACTTCTTCAGCGATGCGGACACATCCTTGACGCAGCCCTCGCAGGTCATCGGGACCGCAAAGGTAGTCTAAGCGATTAGTTAGGCATTCCCCTCACGAGATGCATCGTCAACCCTGGCAAGAGCCCACCTGAAACGGTTCAATCATCTTGTCTGGATAGAAAGTACTACAACACCAATGCGCATGTGAGTGTCACCGTAGAAGAAAGAGGGAAAAAGAAACTGTGGATTCTCATGGAATGCCCCTCGAATGTAGTTGATGCGGGACGAGGCGGGGACGCTTTGAAATCAACCCAATCGGGCTTAGTCACTCTGTTCTCGCCGATAGCGTCATCCGACCAATCAAGCATCACTTTCTCGCCGCAATTCCGTCCGCGTCCAGCTTGTCTACAGCTGCTGCTTTGCATCCGGCACTCTCTCCACAATCCCATCCATCCATTGTCATTCGCCCCACGCCAATCCAGGCCATCGCAGCATGTCCTCCAAATCCAGATGGGCCACCGACGACGACCCCGAAACGGAAGCCATCCTGGCCCAGCGCAAGCGCGAAAAGGAAGAAAAGCGACGCGCCAAAGCCGAGAAACAGCGCCAGCTGGACGAGCAAGCCAAGCTTCAAGCCCAACAAGCTGATACAGACAGCAGCGCACCACCCACCAAGCGTCGCCGACTATCAAACGACCACATCCCAGACCAACAACAAACAACATCCAACACCACCACCACAAACAATGAACCCACCATCCTCACCTTCCCAACCCAAGAATGGGGACCCTGTCGAAACGTCACCAACTTCGAACGCCTCAACCACATCGAAGAAGGCTCCTACGGCTTCGTCAGCCGCGCCAAAGACATAACCACGGGCGAAGTAGTAGCCCTGAAGAAACTCAAAATGGACAACTCCCCAGACGGCTTCCCCGTAACAGGACTCCGCGAGATCCAAACCCTCCTCGAAGCCCGACATCAAAACATAGTCTACCTACGAGAAGTAGTAACAGGCACAAAACTAGACGAGTAACCTCTCCCCACCCTTCATCCCTCCCATCACCCCAAACTAACCTTCATATCCACAGAATCTACCTAGTAATGGACTTCCACGAACACGACCTCAAAACCCTACTCGACGAAATGCCCGAACCCTTCCTCCCCAGCGAAATCAAAACCCTCCTCCTCCAACTCCTCTCGGGCCTCAACTTCCTCCACGACCAATGGATCATGCACCGCGACCTCAAAACCTCCAACCTCCTCCTCAACAACCGCGGCGAGCTCAAAATCGCCGACTTCGGCATGGCCCGCTACTACGGCGATCCGCCCCCGAAACTCACCCAGCTCGTCGTGACCCTCTGGTACCGGGCCCCGGAACTCCTCCTGGGGGCAGAGAAATACGGCACCGAGATCGATATGTGGAGTGTAGGGTGTATCATGGGCGAGTTGTTGACCAAGGAACCGTTGTTGCAGGGCAAGAATGAGGTCGAGCAGGTTTCGAAGGTGAGCCTAACCCCTGCCCCCTCCCATCCTCTTCCCAAAGCCATCACTCTGTGAAGGGTCATCTTGACTAATGAATAATGTTTTGTAGATATTCGCCCTCACCGGCCCGCCCACACCCCAGATCTGGCCTGAATTCAGATCATTACCGAATGCCAAGTCACTACGGCTGCCGCCTACTGCATCAACTACTACGGCGGGGGGAAACCCGCCTTTACTGCCTCGGACCAAGTTCCCTTTTTTGACGAATGCCGGGCTACATCTGCTCTCGTCGTTGTTGGCGTTGAATCCCGGGGTGCGGATGTCGACGAAGGAGTGTCTGGCGCATCGCTATTTCAAGGAGGATCCTCGGCCGAAGCCGAAGGAGATGTTCCCGACGTTTCCGTCTAAGGCGGGTATGGAGAAGCGCAGACGGAGGGAGACTCCCGAGGCGCCTAAGCGGGGGCAAGAGGCTCCGAAGCTGGACTTTGCGAGTGTGTTTGGGGGTCAGGGTGGTGGGGAGACGGGGGAACAGGGGGCTGGGTTTACGCTACGGCTGGGCTAGTATGGAGCCTGGTTCAATGTCTTATAATGTGCATATAGAATTTCGTGTGATTCAGGTTTTGGAGCGAGATGTCTCGATATCCAAAATACCTGGAGGTATCACTAAAATACACTTCCAAACTGAACAGCAAGGTGTGATAAGGAACGTCACAGGTTAGGTAACATGCAAAGTGAAATGAAGGCAGTACCGACATCACTCGTGTCAGCATGGACTCACGAAAAGTAGTGTCTGTCGATAGCCGGGTATGTCATAAGGTACTCTTCTGAATCGCTGGTGTTATACTCGCGTCGGAACGGCCGTGTGCCACGTACCTGGACGGGCGTGCGCGGACCAATGATCTCGGGGATATCATGCACTCTGTTCGACGAGTTGCGGTCGAGCCCTGGCCCACTATACAAGCAGCCATCACCGCTGAAGCTGCGCTCCGCTTTGGTGGCGTTGTTCCCCCTATCCGGACGGAGGTCGTTGGATTTGTCCACTAGGAAGTACTCGTCTCGCAATGCTAGCAGCGACGCCAGATCGTCCTGAGACGATTGGCTGCGCAAGACCGACGCATCGGTACTATGTTCACTCAGACGATCCTCTGCTTTAGCCGGGATTAAGGGCATATTTTCTGTCGAATCAATGCAGCGGACAATACGATTACCGGCGCCTTCCTGCACCTGTCCAGAAGTAACGCGCATATCAATCGTAATGCGAGGTATTTCACCACCATGATTCGACAACTCGGGAATTTCAGTTGATGGCAATTTCGTGGAGGGGCTGTTGGTCGAATCCACTGCCCCTGGTGAGTGACTGGCTGAACGTCCAGCGTTTTCGTAAGCTTCGTATGTCACGACCTGTTCCCCATCATGGCTTTCACCCAGCTCTAGCCGTTGGCACAGCTCCAAAGACTCTATAGCCAATTCAGCATCTATGATTTGTGAGTGGGAGACGTAGGGTGCCATGTTGGCGCTCGTTCCAACAGGTCTGGCGCTGCTTGTGTCGACGATTGGCACCGAAAGATTGCTGGGTCTGCTCGCGCTGGCCGCACCATCCCTGTCACTATCGACTGTTCCAGACGGCAACTGTGGCTCAGAAGCGCCACTGTTGGAAGGAACAGGAACTGTGATGCACAGACCCTCGGTCTCGCTGCCTGCTGCTTGCGAAAAGTACGACTCGCTAGGATTGCGGGAGGATGAGCTCGGAATCATAGGCTGAGGATTGTCTCCTCCGATAGCATCTGTAGACGCCACATTATGAGACTCCGTTCCCCTATCTTTATTGCTAGATGTTGATCGAGCGTTTGAGAAGGTCAAAGTAAGAAACTCTTCAGTCTCCCGACGAGGCACAACGGTCGACTCTGAGGAAACGGTACCATCTTCCCATACAAATGGCCCCGGCAGACTCCGTAAATACCTGTCCATGTTGCCATCCGGCGGGTAGTTGCAGCTGATGCGCTGTAGGTCAGTACCGAACTCAACATCTTCCTCAGTGCTAGCCTCTGACACAGTCGACGAGTAGAGCGTGCCCTGCTGGTCGGAGGAGCCCTTGGCTGAATCCGTGGACGACCAAAGGCTAGGTATATCATCGTTATGGCTTGGACGAGGAATGGGACGTCTGCGAAACCTAGGTCGGAGGGACAAAGAGTGCATTTTCCCCATGGACTTCTTCGGCAGGCTTTGCATCCACTGCTGCCATGATGTAGATGCAAGCGAAGGGTTGTGCCGCGGGTTTTGCGGATCAAAAACGGGGTAGTGGGCGCTTTCTTCGCAAGTGGTGGGAGGAGGTGTTGATGGTCTTCTAGTTCTTCGTGCTATCTGTCAGCTTGCAGAATCCACAGGATCATATAGTTCGCCTACCTATTCCGGCTCATGGACGGACGAAGAGACGAGAACGACAACGACTGACGACGTCTGCTTCGGCCACTGCTTGAACCCTTAGGCTTCATGGCTGTGCTATTCAGGTGCCTGATATTGGCTCAGTGAATCAGAAACTCCGAGCAGAAGTTGCACAAAAAGATACTTTGCGGGGGAATGATCTGGACAGTGGGGTCCCCAGTTGGTAAATAGCCAGCAGCAGGCGATGCCAAAGTACATAAAAGACGGGTCATTCCGGGTGCATTTGCAATGTTGGACAAGGCAGGCATTGAATTGAGTGGCTGCTTCTCTGCCTGTATTACCTGCATGGCGGTTTCCTGAAATATCTCGGCTGTGAATGTACAAACAAAGTGTCGTGGATATACTTTGTTTGGCCCCTCAAACAAATCCTTACTATTTCTGTTTCGTAATGGATGCTTCTCTTGTATCAGAGTTAAGCTTAAATAAAGAATATTGCAGACTGCCTGGGGCTTCAGGTGGTGCTGGCGAAGCAAGCTTCTTGTTTGGGTCATACTATAAACTAGACTAAGGTGTTTCTCTCTGATAGCTGACAGTTACTAAACAATCAATAGTATCACGGAGCTGTGCTACTGGCACACAGCGTCGTTCATGCCACACCTTCTCCCTACCCTGTTCCTGCGCTAAGTCTACCCCAGAAGATAAGGCTTGTTTTTTAATATATGCAGAAGCCAAAGCCTACCGCCATCCCCTTGATGTCAGATCCCCAGTATGCTAGGCCTGAGACGCGAGAATAAAGAGCAAAGTCTATCAGGTCACAACTCCATATCACAGGATCAACAACCATACCGAGCCATGAGAGCTTTGAATGAAGGATCGGCCAGAAGCTGCGTCGCAGTCAGACGCTCCTCGGGTGAGTATATGAATACCTTCTGCATGATGAAGAGGACAAGTTCTCGTTCCGCCAGATCGGCATCGGGTCGATAGCGCGCAAGCTCTGATGCGAGGGTCTTGTTCGTATCGGGCGTCCGATTCTGATCGTACCAGGAATCCAGACAATCATCATAGATGTAAGATCCTTTCCATTGCTCTGGTAGCGGGCCCAGACGGGCGGTAATAGTCGTCAAAACTCCGCCTATGTACCCATCATGGAATGGTCGTCCCCCTTGGTAAAGTTCAACAAAGTTGACCATGTAGCTCCACATGTCGCAGGCAAAGCTTGGGGCTTCTCCATGGAGACGCTCCGGGGAGCAGAAACACAGAGGTGGTTCGCCGGGTTGAGCCACGGAATCGCCAACCTTCATGGCCAGACTGAAGTCAGCGAGATAGAGGTCTTCTGTGCGCAGAGTTTCAGGGACCTGTATGGGCCGCACCAACTCTCCAGGCTTCCAGAGCTCGATATCTTGGATGGTTATCTTTAATGGCCGAGTGAGTAGTTCATATTTAGCAGTCCTGCTAAGATTGTGAAGAGGCGCCATCCCCCATAGGCAGTTACTCTCGCTCAGATCTTGACGGAGATTCATCAGATGGCGACGATATGAAATGTGTAGAATGACTTACCGCGGTGCACAATGCCAGCGTTGTGCAAAGCTTCCAATGCCTTTAACAATTGCTTCGCAGCTGACATGCGAGTACTTATAGCTAAGTTTGTCACTGTATAACGGTCAAGACACGGCCCCATCAGAAGAAACACCATAACCCTATGGTGGCCATCGCTTCCCTTTAGAATAAAAGTATCTGTATATGTCACAAGGTGGGATCTGTCCTGCACGCTCCGAACAATTTCATCTTGTATGCGTAGCTCGATGTCTCAGAAGTCGCCCTTACGAAAGACTTTGACAGCGATATCTTTGTTTTCCTGGAGGTCAAGGGCCATCCAGACAGTAGAGAAACCACCAGCACCGAGTTTGTGCTCAATCAGGTATCTTTCGTTGAGAATCTCTCCAAGACAGATTGGATAATAAGCGTTTTGTGTTTCGGGATCATACTTTTCCCAAGGCTCAGCATATTCTTCGACGTCGATTTCTTCATCCTCTGTGCTCGCAAAGTCTCCGAAGTCTATCATGTCATCTTTTGCAATTGCTTGCGGTGAGACGCCAATACTCACAGTCTTTGAAGCTGATTGCGCCATCGTCCTAAGGTGTTTGGGTCGGTCTTAAATTATCCGTGATATCTGACACCCGAATGCTGGTCGGCTGCCCCAGAGTCGCTTAGAAAAATTGTGGGTAAAACAGTAGTATTTGAGCTTTGAGACCCGGCACAGTTCAGGCACTATGCAGTTGATAAGATGGGTTGCACTGCTAATCGTTGGTGGTGATAGTCCTAGTTGGAAGGGACCTCAAGTTTTATATCGACCATACTTTAGGCCTGAGGTTGAAAGTGGAGTCTGAGCACTTCACTTGACGTACATTTACAGTGAAGTACAGTGAATGCTCTATGAATAACCTACTTCAGTTATTAGTAGACCACCGGTAGTTTCTGATCATCATACTATCACCGAGTAGTAAACACAAGTATTCAATTCAGATATCATCTATACGGAGTACCCTACTGCTTATACTATAACACCCGACTTCGCGGCAACCAGAGGTTGATGTAGATGCTTGGATCAAAGACCTGCTCACCTGTTGAAACGCAATTAGGGAGTAACTCTTTACCTTTTCTAGCTATAATATGGCATTGCAGGCACCTGACATGATTGCATCCTCCTAGTTTGTATGGTCAGACAACACTTGTATCTAGAGTATCTCCTATATCAGAAGGGACCCCCTCTCTTCTTCTCACAAATTCACAGTGCTGCAGAACCTGCTCTTCTACCTAATCGAAGGGATGAAGTGATTTATTCACCTCTGGGGTAATGCGGGCTAGTTATTCATCTCATTCATAATGAATGTCGTTCCATTCGGTCTCCAGCCTCCTTTCGTTCCTTTCCTATATCAAGCTGCTATTCTATCTGTAACATCAAAGAGTACTCAGCTTTTGCAATGACGTTTACTAACGTTCTCCCCGCTGATCTTTATGAGGGAACCGTCGATGGAATTGCCATTAAATGGACTCACAACGCTAAAGCTAGGCTGACTACTAATGCCATCGAATACCGAGTGAACGCTACCGCTATGAAGGCAGCTACTGAGCACTTTACGCACAAGTGCTCTAAGCGCCTGGGGAAGGCCACTGCCATCATAATGTAGGTCTTCTTTACTCATTTTAGGACTTGAATCAGATACTCACTTCCTTCATTCTAGTGGATCTTTCCATAAATTCACCACTATCACCAGAACCGGCAAGGAGAAAGCGGCCCACTCCCATATAACGCTTTCCTTAAATCCAGGCGGCGTCAAGGTCCATGTGAACGTTACCTTGCCCGAAGGGGGGGCCGTAGAAAATGCCCAGTGGAGAGATGAAAGCGTCGTATTGAGAAGAAGGGCCATAGCAGACCCAAGCCTGTCCGTAGGCGAGTATGATGAATTGTCCGACAGGGGTAAGTCTACCATCGCAAAATACATGGAGCAATATGATCTGATTTATATAGATACACCGTCCCCTGTCTTGAACTAGTTCAAGCGCTAGAGAGAAAATAGCAAAGTTGCTATAAGAACCTTATCATGAGGTTGACCGTACCAGAGTTCCGTGGATTGACTTTTTCGAGTTATCAGCAAGGACGACAAAGGCTTAAGGCTGATAGAAAGCAACAGCAGCGCTATTTAGGGCTACAGCAACGCCGAATGCAGAATGATCTTCCTGAGGAACACTGACAACATGCATCACAGCTGCGAGCAGCAATGACGAGGCAGACAAGCCTTGCAACACTGTGAGATGCCAAAAATACAAACACTGGACAAGGTCTTTGCAGAATAACAAGGGTCGCAGGGATAGACGCTGAAGATTCTGGGTAATTGAACCAAAACACGCCCTGTTACGAGTCTTCCGGGGAGGCTACGCATATGAGAAAGAAGAAACATGTAGGAGGCAAGTCATAGACAAAGAGAGGAGATGATAATGGCTCGTACGTAGCTGACCAATCAGATGCAGCACTCTTTCTAACTTTGACAACTTTGTAGATATCTCCTCCTTCGTTGTTCATGTAGTTGTGTTGAGCTGCGGTGACGACATTCCTGCGTTGTAGCATATACTGCTTATGGTTTCAAGCAAGTGTTATGTGACTTTGACGTATTTGACGATATCCGGGGCTTATTTCTTACTTCAATTGATGAAGCACCTACATAGCTAGCATCTCCTATAGCACGCTCGAGCAGGTGCAGTGTAAGAGGATCAATTTGATATGGTATAATTTGACTTGAATTTATTTGCACAACAGCAACAGCAGGGGAAAAAAATAGCGGCTAGAGCAGTCCCGACAAACCCTCGCAAGACAAATAGAAAGCGAATATCCAAGAACCTCATCTGATGTTAGACGACAAATCTGAAGCTATCTCAGCAAAAAGGAGCTCATCCAGACCGTCCCACACCTACAAAGAGTACTGCTTGGACAACTTTCGATTGAGTGTGATCCTATAAGAAATCTTGGACATGTGAAAATATACAGAATGAGGCTAGGCGTAGTATCTAAACTGATTTAGAATAAAGACATACTTCGAGCTTTTGTGGGATATCCTCACCTTGTGTAGTGATATTCACTCAGCAGCGTCTGCGGCGGGCGAGATGACGGGAGCGGAGCTAATGGCGGAGCTCGAATTCCTTCCGTTCTGTCAGCTCCTCCTGCTGTCATCAGTTCAAGCACCCGTCAGATCCTCACAATCCTCAAAGAAGTTACTCTGGAAGCTCAATTGACTCCATATATTATTGATCCTAGTCTTACTATCATATCACCCTCACTTTCGGTCCCCAAAGCTCTACCGCCATGGCCGCGAGCCAGGATAGCGTTTCCTTCGATGCGATCATCCAAGCCGGTATGACCATCATTCCCCGACTCACCCACGCAGAGCGCTTGAGACTAACAGGCTTGATTCAGATCGCAAGAGAAGACGCAACGAAGAACTAGCAAACAAGCTCCTGAGCAAGAAGAAAACGACCAACCCGCCTACGAAACCGACAGGGAAGACGCAGAATGTGAAGCCAGGCAGCCTGGCAAGTCGGATCGGAGTAGCGAAGGTGAGGAGATCAGGACCTCTGCAAGCCTGCTCATTTTTGTCGCATAACTAATTCGATGTATTGCCAAATCCAGCGCTCCGCATCGTCTACTCTACCGGCCAAAACAACTCCTTCAATCCCAGCGCCCGCGCGACAGGGTGCCCGACAGAACGCAAGGCCATCGAACAAGCGCCGTCCTGATGAGAACCGCCTTCTTTCTGCGCTCAATCCCGCGAGCGGCCAGGCTAACGTGCGAAATGGAGGTGGACTGTCGATCAAGGGAAAAGGGTCCGGGCCATTCGTTGTTGTCGGTAGCAACTTCGCGCCAGGGACTACGGCGGCCGATATTCAATCAGCTCTGGAACCTGTTTCCGGCCCGATATTGCGCTGCTGGGTCACTGCGCAACATCCTGTTGTCACAGCGGAGATTACATTTGCAGAGAGACAGGCCGCAGAGGGTGCCGTTGCCAACTTTCACAACCAGAGGGTAAGTCACTCGTCGCAACTATCAAGGATCTATTCTAATCGATTAGGCCGACGGTCGGATTCTCTCATTCCACCTAAAGCAACCTGCGAACCCCGATCTGTTTGAGCGCTCCAATGCCCAGCCCGCCGTACAGAACTCCCAATCGTTCAGTGACCTCCGCGAGCAAGCGGACCGCGATCGCCGTTCTCATCGCTTGGCCGATGCAGCTGTCCAGGACGGACGGTGGGGATTTAATGATCAGAACCAGGCCGGCCAAGGCCCATCCAGGGGCAATCGCAGAAACCGGGGTGGTCGGAAGGCAAGGGGCGGAGCACAGAATACACAAGAAACAGGCCTCTATAGCGATGAGATGATGGTCGATGCACCTCAGCAGAACCAGCGCAACCGGGGCAGGCGGTAATGCAGCCATCAGTGGTTCAGTCTGAAAATGCGTCGTTCTTGAACACAGGCTGTTCTGCTGAACAGGCAGGATGGATTTACTTCTTTTCGGATTACATGGTTCTGCAATTGCCCTGGCTACTTAGAATGAAGACCTGTACGATATGAAGAAATACTTTTTTTTTCTGGACGAATACCCTTTGGACGTAGACAGATAGAATAGCTGACTGCGGATTATCGGCAGCTGATATGATAAGAACGCAATCACGTGTGCGGAAGTTTTGCGGAGAAGTTGGAGAGCTTCACAGGATTAATTGCTGGATGTTGGTCCAGAACCCCTCAAATTAGGGTCTCCTTAACAATACCATATCAATTAGACATATGAAGTAACTCGCCACCCTTCTTCAGAAAATATCGAGATGAACCACGCAACGAGGCGCGCCGTGAGGCAGCTCCTCAGAAAACATCCCAACCAGACCCTCTGCCTCAAATCGCAACGATGGTCCTCAACTACATCCACAACTTCCACATCGACCTCTGAAACAAGAAAATGGTCGACACCACTAGCGCAGACTCTTGCCAATGCGATCAAAGTACGACATCAATTCAATTCTCATTGAGCCGATCTAACCAGCCCTCCACCAGGTAACCGGACCCGTTCCTATCGCCGCCTTTATGCGCCAGGTCCTCACAAACCCCGAAGGAGGCTACTACACAACGCGACCAGAAGGCCACGGCGAAGTGTTCGGCAAGAAAGGAGATTTCGTCACCTCACCCGAGATATCGCAGGTCTTCGGAGAACTGGTGGGGATCTGGACAATCGCGGAATGGATGGCGCAGGGACGGAAGCGCAGCGGAGTGCAATTGATGGAAGTTGGACCGGGGAAGGGCACATTAATGGATGACATGTTGCGTGTGAGTTGTACAGTTGTTTTGACCTTGCGACGCCTTACAGTTACTGATACGGACGGAGCTAGACATTCCGGAACTTCAAGATGTTCTCGTCGAGCATAGAGGCGATATATCTGGTGGAAGCTAGTGCCACGCTGCGGGAAGTGCAGAAGAAATTGCTTTGCGGGGATGCAGTCATGGAGGAAACGGATATCGGACACAAGAGTACATGCAAGTACTTTGATGTTCCGATCGTTTGGGTGGAGGATATCCGACTGTTACCGCATGGTAGGAAGCATGACCGATATCTGCGCGATGAACATCTTACTGATGGATGGCCTACAGAAGAAGAAAAGACCCCCTTCATATTCGCCCACGAATTCTTCGATGCCCTCCCAATCCACGCCTTTGAATCCATCCCTCCCTCTCCAGAAAACCAGCCTGAGCAGAAGGAAATCATGACTCCCACCGGCCCAGCAAAACTACACCAGCCCTTGAAGCCAGCCAACACTCCCCAATGGCGCGAACTCTTGGTCACCTTGAACCCGAAAGCCGTGGAGGAGAACATTGAAGGCGAGCCCGAGTTCAAGCTCACCCTCGCCAAGGCATCGACGCCATCCTCTCTCGTCATCCCGGAGATCTCCCCGCGCTACCGCGCCCTCAAATCCCAGCCGGGATCCACCATCGAAGTCAGCCCGGAGAGTCGTATCTACGCAGCTGACTTTGCGCGCCGCATCGGCGGTGCCTCAGAACCACCCCGCACGGTCACAAAGGGCGCTGCTGCTTCTGCGCCGGCCCCCGCGAAGCGCACATCTTCCGGTGCTGCCCTGATCATGGACTACGGCACTCTCAATACCATCCCGATCAACTCCCTGCGGGGTATCCAGGAGCACAAGAATGTGCCGCCGCTGTCGTCGCCAGGACAGGTTGATGTCAGTGCAGATGTGGATTTCACGGCGTTGGCGGAGGCGGCGATCGAGGCTAGTGAGGGCGTGGAGGTGCATGGGCCGGTCGAGCAGGGTGATTTCCTGCAGGCGATGGGCATCGAAGAGCGCATGCAGCAGCTTCTGAAGAAGGTCGATGATGAAGAGAAGCGCAAGACACTGGAGACAGGGTGGAAGAGACTGGTTGAGAAGGGCGGCGGTAGTATGGGCAAGATCTACAAGGTGATGGCCATCGTTCCGGAGAATGATGGCAAGCGTCGACCGATTGGATTCGGCGGTGGACTTGTGATGTAGCTGTCAATACTGCCCTGTATAATATAGCATAGACTTGTAGGCAATCAACAAAATACCATATAAGACTCTTATTCTAAAGCGCCACCCATGCATCTGTTCCACTTTCACCCATCTACCCAACCCAACCCACCTGTGAAAATGAATAAAATAAAAAGGGTATCACCACCAAACCAATCAATCCCTCCAATCCCAACCTCCTATCCATAAATGAAATAAAATATAAATCTAATACTCCCTCCAAATATCCTCCACCCAAGCCTGCGTCAACCTCTCATCAGGCCCATACTTCTCCTGCCACTGCACGAACCCACCCTCGAGGACAAACACCTCCTGCTTCTTACTCTCCTCCTCGCCGAGGATGCGCTCGCGCTCGCGGGCATACCGCAGCGCAGCAGACGGGCCGCGCTGCTGGCTCAACGCGCAGTGGAACACCACCTTTTCTTTGTCCGCCAGGGTGCGGATGAGTTCGGGGAGGCGGTAGTCTAGTGACGAGCTGGGGACCCAGGTGGAGGTGGTGATGTGGCCGCCGACGTGGTCTAGAAAAATTATTAGTATAGTGGATAAGAAGTGGAGGAAGGTGGATATACGCACCAGAGTCACGCACATCGATAATGGCGAGTTTGCTAGGTGTGGAAGTCGAGAGGAGGAGGGCTGAGAGGGCGTCGCGGCTGATGCGGGGGAGGGTTGCGATGGTTATGGAGGACATTTTGAATGTAGACTTTCCGTTTCGGACGGGAATATGAAGTGATGAGAGAGGGAGAGAGGGGTGCTATGTTCTGCTTCTGCAGAACTACACGTAGTCAGACTATACTGTCCTTGACTATCAAATGTTAGTCCAACGTAAGTATACTGGAGTATGTAGCGGAGCACCCGGCGGAATCAATCACGCAGTCACGTGCCCGCAATTTCCGATCCGCAACCCGCAACGGGCGAGATTTATCCCATATCCAACAATAATAATTCCCTCGACGCCTGTCCGCCTCCACCACAACATTCAGCCAGGATAGGACGGTGATATCCCGGGAAACACACCTCTCCAGCTACCAATTGACTAGGATCCGTCATATCCTAACCCACTATCACCATGGACATGCGCGCCCTATCCCGCGGCCTCCTCCGGGCGAAGCCAACCACGACCCTCTACAAGAGCCAGCAGCAGCAACAGCTCCTCCCAGCACGAATTGGCCTACGCTTCTCTTCTGACGCCTCCTCCTCTTCCTCCTCTTCTTCCACCCCATCCAACAAGAACAACACAACTACACAACCCCCGACCCGCCAAACACAACAACCCTCCTCATCCCCATCAACGTCCCAAAAACCCACCGACTTCGACCAAATCCTCAACAAGCTCAACTTCAACAACACCAACACCACCACCACCCCCACACCCGGCAGCAATGCGGCAGCTACGCCCGGCAGCACCACCCGCGCCTTCAACGACAGCCTCTCGCTCTCGCGCGCGGTAGGCCTCTCCGCCGAAACAGACGGCCTGCGGACGGCTACATCCCTGCGCAAGATCGATCTGAAGCTGGGCCCGACGCTGGGAAGACAGGTGACGGTTGAGCCGGAGCGCGGGATGGATTTGCCGGCGGCGTTGAGGTCGCTGAGCACGACTATTAGTCAAAATAAGATGAAGCAGTCGTTGATGAAGCAGAAGTATCATGTGCGGAAGGGTATGGTGCGGAAGCAGCTCAGGATGCAGAGGTGGAGGAAGTTGTTCAAGTTTTCGTTTCAGGCGACGGTTAAGAGGATTCAGAAGATTCGGGGGCAGGGGTGGTAGATATTCCTTGCAGGGGGATGGATGGTTGGGGGTGTGTGTATAGAGGGATATGTATGATGGGGAGTGGGTAAAAGGGTTATTTTGTGTACTATATTGTTGCAGTGTTGTATTTTCGTTGTGTTTTGTTTTGTCTTGCTATGTGTGTTAAATCTACATGAGATACTATACTGGTAGTATATCTGCATCTGCATCTGTTTGTACCTCCATCTATCAATAATCATCCACATCAATCATACATTCAATCAATCAATCAGTCAATCAATATACACATCAATCCCTCTTCCCACTCACATACCCTCCATACCCATACCCACCATATCCTCCTCCCCCTCCTACACTACCACCACCACCAGCACCACCACCCACAGCAACAGTCGCAGGCGAATACCCTCCATACCCATTCATCCTAACCCCATTCCCATTCCCAGCAAACCCCTTCCTCCCAGCACCGCCAGTAACCCCCAGAATCCCCTCCCCCCTCCCCCGTCCCCTCCCATAAACCCTCTCCCAATAAACCGCCAACACAGCCCCAACCACCGCAGCAAATCCAAAAAACACCATTCTCGAGAACCACCCCCCTCCACAACTCCCCTCCTCCTCCTCATACCCATCCCCACCACTAGGCCACCCAATCCCCCTGCCCCCCTCCACCCACTTAACACTAAACCGAAACGTCAACGGCTCCCCCCTCACAACCTTCGTCCCATGACCCTCCGTCCACGGCTCCCTAGCCCCCCGATTATCAAACTCGGGCACACTGTACGCCGTGCCCGCAACCACATACCCGGGGTCCGTGCGTTTATTCTTTTTCTTCTCCGTACTGGCCATATTATGCACCAGTACATTCATATCCGTCCATATGTGCAGATGGCTTAGTTGCAATGTGCCCTGGATGGCGAAGGTAATGGGCGTGTAGGCTTGTTCGCCGGTGGAGACATCATCAATTATATCGATGTCTGGAGAGGAAGGGGAGGCAGAGAGAAGCGGCGCGGTGGGTACGCGACATGTCATGGGCACGTCCGAGTGGACGTAGTACTCTAGTAAATGGTAGAGCTCATCGGGGAGGGAGGCGATGGTGCATGTTAGGGTTTGTTCGGCGATACCGTAGTGGAGGGATAGCGGTTGGGAGGTCTCGTTGCATGTTGGGAAGGGGATGTATTGGAGGTTGCCTAGGGGGTCAGTTATCTATTATATTAGTTTGTTAGTTGGGTTGTGTTGGGTTTGAATTTCGGGGTTATTGTGGGTGGGTGGCGTACGTGTTCGCCGGAGTCACTGTTTATCACCCATTTATGTTAGTACGTCGTTGGAATTGATTATTGAGTGGAATAAAGACAGGGAGGGCGTACATCGTCCGGTTCAGACATGTTACTGGCACCGCTTGGCCATAATTGTAGCCGGGGTTTGCTGTTGCGCGTTGCTCACTGCTGCTTCTCCCCGCTGCGGTGGATGTGTGGAGGAAGAGGAGACTCAATAGTCCATAGTGATAGATCCGATGGAGGGATGCCCTTTCAGGAACGGGCATTATGAATAAATAGGAGAAAAGAAATAATTGATTCGGAGCTCTCGCCGGCCAGCGCAATGGGAAATTTCGCGCGCTGGCGAGGTAGTAGGCGGGTTTTGATGATCAGGAGAAGCGGCGTGGTCGGAGCCGCAGTAAGGAGACGGACCCTTTTTGCTTACCGACTTGAGTCTATTTGGACGGCATGTTGCACTTGCTACATAAGAGGCTCGTGAATTCAACGCTACTGGTTATTCCTTGGTATATTTTCGGGTCTCATGCGACTTAATGGTCTACAGTTCATCTACAGTTAGCTGCAAGTACTGCACTGTCCAACAGTTCATTGCTAACTCATAATTAAGGATGACACTCGTGGCTTCATCAAAATGACTATGTACTCCTTTTGCTATTTCAATCCCTTTTCGTATCCAAAAATTTACGCCAGGTTGGCCTTCTTCTTGAAGGCAAGCAGCAGACCGCTGGTCGACGCATCGTGGTCCGAGCCAGCGTCCGCGGTCTCGAGCTCCTTCTGGATCTTCTTGGCAAGCACCTTGCCCAGCTCCACACCCCACTGGTCGAAGGAGTTGATGTTCCAGATGGCACCCTCGGTGAAGGTGAGGTGCTCGTAGTAGGTGATCAGAGCTCCCAGAGTGGAGGGAGTGATCTTCTGGGCCAGGATGGAGGTCGTCGGGCGGTTGCCCAGGAAGGTCTTGTGAGAGACCAGGTTCTCAGGGGCACCCTCGGCCTTAACCTGCTCAGGGGTCTTTCCGACCATCAGGGCCTCGGACTGGGCCAGGAAGTTGGAAGCCAGCATGCGCTGGTGCTTGCCGCCCTCAACGGGGTTGTGCGACTCGGCGGCCATGATGAAGTCGGAGGGGATGAGCTTGGTGCCCTGGTGCAACAGCTGGAAGAAGCTGTGCTGGGCGTTGGTGGCGGGCTCACCGAAGAGGATGGGGCCGGTGGTGTACTTGACGTACTCGCCGGTGCGGGTGATGGCCTTGCCGTTACTCTCCATGGAGAGCTGCTGCAGGTAGGCAGGGAAACGGTGCAGGTACTGGTCGAAGGGAGCCACCAGGTGGGTCTGGGCGCCGAAGAAGTCGCTGTACCACACGCTCAGCAGACCACCGAGAACGGGGATGTTCTGCTCCAGAGGAGCCTCGCGGAAGTGCTTGTCCATGGCGTGAGCACCAGCCAAAAACTGGTGGAAGTTGTCATAGCCGATGTACAGAGCGACGGACAGACCGATGGCGCTCCAGACGGAGTAGCGACCACCCACCCAAGACTCGAAACCGAACATGTTCTTCTTGTCAATGCCGAACTTGGTGACCTCCTCCTCGTTGGTGGACAGGGCCACGAAGTGCTTGGCAATGTGAGAGTCCTCCTTGGCGGTCTCGAGGAACCACTTCTTCGCCGTGTTGGCGTTGGTGGTGGTCTCTGCGGTAGTGAAGGTCTTGGAAGCGATCAGGAAGAGAGTGGTCTCGGGGTTGGAGTTCTTGAGGGCCTCAGCGATGTGGGTGCCATCAATGTTGGAAACGAAGTGCAGCTTCATGTCGGGGGCACCGTAGGGCTTCAGAGCCTCGGTCACCATGACAGGGCCACTGATTATGAGGTTAGTAACGGCTTTTCATTTCATCACTTCAATTGGCCGACTTACAGGTCGGAACCGCCGATACCGATGTTGATGACGGTGTCGATCTTCTTGCCAGTGTAACCCTTCCACTCACCACTGCGCACCTGCTCAGTGAACTCCTTCATGTGCTCGAGAACGGCGTTGACATCCTCAACGACGCTCTTTCCGTTGACCTGCATGGGCTCGTTGGAGACATTGCGCAGGGCAGCGTGGTAGACGGCACGGTCTTCGGTGAAGTTGATGTGTTCACCCTTGAACATGGCATCACGGAGCTCCTCGACATTGGCTTCCTTGGCCAGCTTGACCAGCAGAGCCAGAGTCTCCTCGGTGAGGAAGTTCTTGGAGAAGTCGAAGAGGACCTCGGAGTTGTCGACGGTGTTGTTGAAGGTGCGGCTGAACTTCTCGAAGCGCTGGGGGTCCTTCTGGAAGCACTCCTTGAGGACGATGTTACGTCCGACGGAGTTGTGGTGCTCCTGGAGCTCCTTCCAGGCGGAGAGTTCGGTGGCCTGCGAGAAGCTGGGCATTGTGGTGGATGGTATAGAGCTTTGACCGACGAGGAGAAAGTGTTAGCGCGGGGCACAAACAGAGGGGGATTGATGCAGACGAAGCTTGGATGGAGCTGGAACAGGACGGATGCTTACCTTTTACTTTAAAAACAGATGAAACTCGAAGAAAGGAGGGAGAAGAAGGCAGGGAAAAGGGAGGAGGGGTAGTAGGGAAGAATTGAAGGGGAAGAAGAATAGTAGTTTAGAAGGCGGGAGTCGCGGAGGGGAGAGGAGCAGCAACAAGACAAGGTATGTCGTCAACCGGCGTGTTGGGGTCCGTAGGAGGGGCTGCCGTGGGGCATCCACCACAACCAGCAAAGTGACGCAGATTCATTCCCCCGGTGGGCGCCCTTTCCCATTTGTCCTTTCCAGAAACCTCTGCCGGTCAGCTGAACGTTTGTTTCCCGTTGCTAAACATTGTCTTGCGTTGATCCTGTTTGTCATCACTTTATTCTAGACTTCTACACCTTCTTGGTGATCACCACTGGAAAGTTATCCGTATATCCGCTCAATTGGAAGCTTGTGTCATCACTTCCACACTCACAGCAGTTATTTCCGGCGATTTAGTGTCTGTTTCTCCGGCCGCATCGTCATGGGAAGCTTCATCATCCAGAATATTGGCCGGGCTCCACTAAGACAGTCCAAGCCATTCTGACCAGGGTGAATCACAATAGCCGGTTTCTAGGTCACACCGGGCACTCAGTCCCATCCTGCGTTATCAGGAGAGCAGACCACGCCCCAATAATAGAGATAGTATTAGCTACAGAGGTATGTTCCTGTCAGTCCCTCGGAAAAGGGTCGCCGTGGAATTGTCACCCCCACGTCCTGCCTTCCAGATCGTCTATCGAAGGCTCGGGAGCTTCGGTCGAGATCGTTCCATACTTTCCCTTTTAGCCGGTTGCGTTTATTACTGTGTACTGCTGTGCCTTTACCGATGTCTCCATTCTACCCCTTATGCTTTACCCCTGGATTCAATTGACTATTGCCTCATCGTAATCATAGCTCACTTCTTCCCTAACGTTCTTCTGATGTTCAACGACCCGTGGAATCTGGATGTGGCCAATTCCACTAGGTAAAGGGCAACCCAATAACAACTCTTCCTTCTGGATCCGAGCAAGGATGTTAACAGTGAAATGTCACTAATGGGACTGCTGTATGATCCTCCCAATAAGAAATTGTATTCGATGGTCATAGTTGAACAGCGTCGAAGCTGGCGAACCCCAGAGCTATTCATATACAATTTCCTATTCGATGCTGCATATACATGAAGGGGCTCTGCCTGTCGAAGAACTAGCTTTTCACTAACAATTGCTGCAGCGTCTTTTGA